TTTTTTTTTTTTTTTACTTTTAGGAAACCTCAGAACTAATCGGATTCGAAGAAATGTCACAAAAACCAACGGAGAGGTGAGAAACCCAGTCCAATAAAGGCCCAAAAATGTTAAATTTGAAGTAGCGGGGGGAGAGGGGATTAGAAAACTTTTTGTTGCAGCTAATGTACAGATTCAATAATAATATATATTGGGCCTCATAAATTTAAAATGAACTTTTATGATGATATATGGGTCCCAGGTCTTTCTAGTTGTCTTGACGAGCATCGTCCCCTCCAGAACATCCAATTCCGTCTTCAGAAAATGTTCTTCGAAAGCCTTTTGTACCAACGGCCAGCATTCTCTGAAATTTGCAAAAACTCAAAAAAGAATCACTGGAAAAGATTCATATAGTGAAATTTATGCCACAGGTGATGCAAACAATGAATTAACGCGAGAACCTCAAATCAGCTGGAAGGCAGCAAGTAACAGCGTGCCCTTTGTGGGGGTTAAGTTGCTAACTCGGGAACCTGAAAAGCTAGAAGGCTGAAATTTTAAGGGAATGTTTTCCGGCAGTCCCGATGGCCAGTCTCAATTCTTTTAGCTAGAAGCATCTGTCGAGAAGAAAAAAAAACAGTATTGTTAGCGACAAAAACCTGCGCGGAACTGCGCAAAAAAACGCATCTTCACATCGGCTACCGATGCACAGGTCAATTATTTTCAATTATGCAAAAAGAATAGTGCAAAATCATACAAACCGGATGTATTTTTCGCGATATTTCGGGAAGAGGACAGCAAATGAGGACTGACAGAGCAGACCACCCGGGTTATCCTCACGTGAGAACGTCGAGATGTCCCACCACTTCGGATCTTTGCCAGCGAACTGCGCACCCGAACTGGACGCCTCTCCGGTGGTCATCCTGAAAAAGTGGACAGGTAATTCTGGTCCGGGACGAAGCCTTATCGAAGCACCACGCTGTTGCACCACATAACAGTCCCAAGCGGGTACCACACGCTTCCACGTGGACAACTTGTCCTTCCTCAGATACCATGCTATTACTGGTCCGTATAGTCCACCGCGCATTTCGACTTACGTGGCCTTTAGGGCAACTATAAAACTTGGCTCGGTTGTACAATTCGCTCAGTGTACGTTTGGATGCGAGCTACGAGAAGCATGGCTGTACACAATCAACGGATTCCTCCTTCCTTCGGTTAGTACACACAAGCTTATTAGCGCGTTCGCTCAGCGCCTAGTTTCTTGCTTAGCATCAAAAATCCATACACAGCCTCCCCCCACCCGCTCTTCCATGTTCCCGTCGCTGTTCCTACCTCCAAGCAAGATCTCAGCTCTCTCCCAGCCAAC